TATATATATATATATATATATATATTTATATTATCTTAAGTAAAGTGGGAAACTAGTATGCTCCATGCTTTTCAAGATAAAAAGCCAGCCCACTTCAGTAAATCATGTTTTACTATATCACCTTGTTTCTTGAGTCAATCTAAACTTTCTCTTTTATTTGGTCTCATTGTATAATTGTAGTTCAGCAGCGTCATTCAAACTATATTTTATATCGTAAATATCATAAAACATTGGTTTGGCGGTCCAAAACCTGGCGGGCCTGTGTGTTCCGCGTGTTCTGATTATTAGCAAGTGTCTTTCGTTAACTACAAAATTTTGGTGTTTTCTGGTTGAGGTGGTAGGGGGCGTTTTACTTGTTATTCTTGTTTATTGTGTGTGTGTGTCTTCTTGGGAAGCTTATCTCCGTTTTTCTTTGTAACAGCGTGTTGTCAAGGTGGGGCTCTCCCCATAAATTTTGTTGCTGTGCTGCTTCATTTTACTTTTAACATTTCTTTTTTCAATGAACACGAATATTACTATTTTTCTTGTTCGTACAATTTTGGCATTTGTTATGTCATTATTATTTCCTGTATGTTTGTTACTATCTTTAAATCCTATTCCCTTTATTTCTTCTTTTCCAACAAAAGAAAACTTGTTAAAGTGAGTTTCTTCCTGAATTGAAATTGAAGTTACCTCGTGTAAATGTTTAGCAGATTTCGTCATTCAGAGAGAGCAAATCAGATGATCGGCGTTTCTATATATTTACAGCAACAAAGACGCTCCATCTGAGAACTGATTCTAGGAAAGATAGGGTGTCTTGGATACACGCGTTGGTATCAACACGTGGCCTGTATCCTCTTCAACCACTCAATGATCATCTCTTGCTTGCACCCAATGACATATCAATGTCAACGGAGCGTCTTAAGACACGCTTGCTCGAAGAGGGTACCAGTGAGAACCTTGTGAAGGAGTGCGAACAAATCATGCTCTCAGAGTTATCCGAAATGCAAGGACAACTTGAAGTTCTTTGTCAAGAGCGATCTAATTTGCTTGACACAATAAGGCAGTTGGAGGTAATTTTTGTGCTTTATTCTGGAGTGCTTTGTCCCTATCTTCTTCCATATTGGGTCAATTTGAATACTGAAAGAACTGCGGGGTATTTAATAGTTTACTACTCCCAAAACATCTCTACCATTTTAAATTTGGTGAAAGATAACAAGATATTATGTAAATTATGAATTGTGGAATAGTTTAACGATTCCAGGACATTTGATTTCTAAAGTTTTTTTTTAATAATTTTGGAGCTCGTCTGCTTTGGGTGGACGAATACTGATAAATTTAGCTTGATAAAATATTCGCTGAAATATACTTGCTTAATATCCTAAAGTTTCTTTTGAGTCTCCTTTACCATCAATTATTTTTTAGAGGCTATCTAACATGTCAGGAGACTGTTGTCTTGTCACGCGTATCACTTTTTTAATTTCAATTCTGATTAAATGTTTATAAATGAAGTTTCAATACTTTAGCTAAATAGTTTTAAATATCGCGTGTATATATTTTATTCCAGATTTATAGTGCTTCTTAGTTCTTAGTTGCGTCAAACGCATGTATACATGTTTAAGATATATGTGGCTCTTAGATCATAATGATGGAATTGTCTGACCACTTGTGTTGGTATAATTCAAACGGAAGTGCTATGAGTCTTGTTATCATACAATCAAGAACGATGCTAAAAAAAAAATTTGCTAGATCACATGACATGTTTGGTTCAAATGGTCATTCATTCTCGGCTTTTTTTTTTTTTTTTTCGTCTTTTTTTTTTTTTTTTTTTTTTTTTTGTGGGTTTTTCTAATGTCTTTTAAAGAGTCACGTCACTGGTGACTGTATTTGATAGCATCAATTGTTTTCTCCCTCCTCCCTCACCAAAAAATGTAATTGTAATTCACGGGTTCATGTCAATTCAATTATCATTTCAGTATGCCTTTTTCTCTGTGTTTAATTTCTCTACGTGAAGGTCTAATTTGTGTCTGAACTCATTTGCTATTGATCATAATAATCAGGCAGCTAATACTGAACCTGAGGCCTCTGCAATACACGATGGTGAATACCAGTTAACAAAGAATGAGTTTTCAAGTCTTAGGCGCGGAAAATATAGTGGTACTACTATATATGTTACCAATGCTTTTCTGTTTATACCTGTACTGTGACTTGTCTTTCTTATTTGATGCAATAACCATGTGCTTATATGCGGAATCTTTGTTGTGTTGAAACTTATCATAGGGACCAATGGTTCTGTCTTATATGAACAGGAGGAATATTGCTGACATCATATTGTTTTTGCAACCGTTTCTTGAATGATGGAAATTATTTGGCTAGATGCCATTAGAACATGGACGTCTTTATTTCTATTTTCCCCCCTAAGTCGTATAGTTAAAATTCAACCAATAGAATTTTTACCAGCATTTTCATGCCATGACCTGTATAAAATTTATCTCTCATTGTTTTATTTCATCTTTTAGATTCAAGTTCACACGACAGTTTTTTTTTTTTTAATAATAATTTTTTTTAAAGTTAACCTGATGTATGAGTAAACTATTCATTGTAAGATTCGAGTTACTTAATATTTTTTATGGATCCTAGTTCATAAGCCTCTACCTATTGGCTTCTAATAGATTAATGTATTTGTGATGCAATTAATGTGTCAATTTGAAGGGCATGAATCAACGATTTGCTCCATTCTTAATTCATTCACTCAAAATAAGAACTGTACTTTTCATAAGTATGTTGAATTCATTTATCACACTTCGCTGGATGATCATATGCACCATGGCCGTGTACAAGTATAAAATAACGTATTTTGTCCTTTGTCTTTGTCTACATTGAATCTGTCCTTTCAAGACGTTCTATTATTTTTACATATACTTTTTGGTTTCAGAATGTAGTACAACTGAATCATCTGATGATATTGAGAAACAAGAGATGGAAGAAGTGTCAGACGAAGATGAAATCTCATATTATGATACGAGAGAGTGTTTTCCAGAGCCTGATTGCAAGTGTGACTCTGCAGGAGCTATGAAGCAAGTTGACAGGTGCAGGGAAGCCAACTCACAGTGCATTGATACAGAGATCATTCATCCGGAGAAAATGATCTGTAATTATAAGCACCCTCACATTGCAAGGCGAAGGAAACTTCCAGATCCTGTTGAGAAAGAGAAGGGTGTTAGTCTTTGGTCAATGATCAAGGACAACGTGGGAAAAGATCTCACGAGAGTTTGTCTCCCGGTATACTTTAATGAGCCGATATCATCCTTACAAAAATGTTGTGAGGACTTGGAGTACTCTTATCTTCTGGATCAAGCTTATGAGTACGGAAAATCAGTAAGATATACATCTCGCTCTTGTGTATGCCACTCACCAGTGTTGAAGTGCTAGCAATACAAATTTAAAACTAATACTGAAGTAGAAGGCCCGCATTTCCGAAAACACTATTTTACCCCTAATCTGTTATTTTGTAGTGGGACATGATAGTTTTATGACTTCTCTTTTGGGGTTTAGGGTTGTTTCCATCTCTGATATATGGAGAGATCAAGTAATCTTACTACTCTCTTTTAGCTTCTTTGTTTTTACGTTTATAGTTTCACTCATTAAGTTCACTTTACCTCGCACAGAGAGAGGGCAGAGGGGGAAAGTGAGTAGATAGATAATATGAAATAAAATTAATTTATACTTGCCTGTGCAACCAAAGCTAAGAGAAGAAAGTGGAAAATAATGTCGACTTCATTTTTCACTCTAGGTTGAATTTCTACATGTACTCTGTTTTCCAGGTTTTCACTTTCCATCTATTCTTTCAAATACACACCCTTAGTTTACATGTTTCGTTTTTTGTGGTAGAAGAATTTGATGATAATGTGATTCAAAATTGAAACCACAAATTTGACTTGAAATAACCATACCGTAATAATTTCTATGAATTTGTATGTCAGAAATGAGTATTTTGTGGTAGAAGAGTTTAATGATAATAAGATTCAAAGTTGACATCAATCATATTATTGTTTTTGATAGTTTTCCCCTTTGAATATTTTTTTGCAGGGAAACAATCTCCTTCGGGCACTGTATGTTGCTGCCTTTGCAGTTTCTGGATATGCGTCATCTGAAGGTCGTAATTGTAAACCCTTTAATCCTTTACTAGGAGAAACCTACGAGGCTGATTACCCCGAGAAAGGAATTCGCTTCTTTTCTGAGAAGGTTAGTTTCTTATGATTTAATGATGCAGAGATATATAGGATTGGAATATAAAATGTCTAACAAGTGATATTCTGGACAGCACGAGGTCTAATTTTACTTTGGATTTTTATTGGGCTTACAAATGTTGATAAAATTTCCTACAAATTAAACTTACTTTCATCAAACTTTTGTTAGTTAACAACTTCGGAAAGTAAAATGTAAAGCAACTTATTTACTTATAGATAAGTTGCACTTCCAACGAATGATGATTACATAGCGCGTAATGTCAATTGCGGCTGGTTGTTAACCCCTATAGTTAACTTAGACAGTAGAAGATGAAATGGAAATTGAGTGAAATCTCAAATTCCATAATAGTGGTATCCAAAATTTCATTTCATCTCCTGAATTCGCTATGTTGAATGTAGGGTGCTTGTGTTTATAGATGCCCGTCAGCTCTAAAAGATTCATTTACATTAAAAAAAAAAACTGTAACACATTTTTAATCTCATTTGGGGGGGGGGGGGGGTTATAATATTTAAAAATACAGGGGGAACCCAGG